TATTGTATTAAAGCAGAACGTTGATAAAAACTTACCTGTATATGCGTTGTGATTGCATTACATCAAATGTTTCGAATAGGCCATTGCTCAAGCCAATATAGTTTTACGGTGTGTTAGTTGGATATCGGCCTCGTACATCGATCTTTCTGTTTAGGAAAGACCTGGTCACGAATTTCACGCGCTCTCGGTGTCACATGAAATTCGTGACCAGGTCTTTCCTTAAAAGAAAGATCCCGTACTCGGTCGATATCCTGTACGTAAAGTGGTGTATCATTCATATGGCCTTCACATTTAAATTGAAAATTCAATATTGTTAGACTAAATATAAATGATTTGTTGAAAGCATTATTTAAAGAACATTGAGTCAAACATGTTCAAATTTTTAACAAAAAAATGTCACATACTAAACAACGTAAGTGGCTTTACCTGTTCTAATTCTAGAATAATAAATGATGGAAATATAGCGCTTTAAGTAGAGAGTTAATAACTTCCCTAACCATTTATTAAAAAGAAATAAGTACGACAGTTAATAATAAAGCAGTAAGAAACAACCTACTGGATCACTTAAAACTAGCTGTTAACATGTAGCAAGCAGTTGACGGAGCTACCTTGTGATTTTTTCAAGTTATGGTATTTAAATCAAAATATACACGAAACACAAAACAACACGATTAATTAAACTTATGGAAGCTAGTTCTATTCTAATTATTCGAGTCATTACAAATTTGCGTTAAAGACGAGACTTCTTTTAGAGCATCTGATGGATTATATGTTTAGGGTAAAACAGACGTTTTTAGTTTCATTTTGCAAACAATACAAACATTATAACACCCATGCCCATGAATATATACAAGGAAATTGTGTGTGGTATCAAGTAGAATTACTAATCGGCATAGAAAAACACCAATATTTTGTATATGTAAGTATTCAAACTTGACTTGAATATCTCCAATGTATTTTAATTTCAAGCCAAACTAATCTATCAATAAGTATATCAATACTATTTTTTGTAATAGGCGGCTTAGAACTCCTAATAGGATGAAACTTTTTAACTTCCTTTCTATAGATAAAATGAGATGCAAAGACAAATGTTCCAATGTTGCAATAATATGTTACTGCGTTGCCATGTGCACAAAATGTGTATCAAAGAAATTTATCTTTTATAATGAAATCGAATTATGTCTCATGTTAAATTCAAAAGCCAACGCCACCCTACCCCATCTGCATACAATGACATTTAAACCTCCTGACGTTTGGGGCTCTTCTAAGACCATATGTAAAAGTAAGCAGTATTTCTAAATATCAGTGTTCTGAAAGCATTGAGTTGGAGAATACTTTCTGCAAATTAAATTTTTCTATATTTCCTTTAAAAAAATTTTATACATTACGATTGAATATATCTATTTATCATTTTTACAGCACACATAATAGTTTTTATGACATTTTTGTTTTAACTGCAAAGTAATGCAATTTGTTAAGTAAAATTTAACGGCTTTGAAATTATTTGCAAATACTACTAACTACTAATTAGCAAGACGCTAGCTGCAAATGTCCGCTTACTTCATCTGATGGTTTGACAAGAAATAGTATCTATACTTACATATGTTAATGACATAGATTTATGACATTCATCATCAGATCTGATACCATAAATCACAGATTTCTGTAGGCTTTATTTTTAATAATCAAATCGCAATTTTGGACCGTTGATTGATTAACATGTCAAAAAATGTTCTATTTTTCCTTCTTACAATGTCCTGAGACATCCTGGATCAGGGTCATTGACAATCGATCATATGGTCTATGAGAAATTCAACCCTAGAAATAAAGAGTCCCTAGCTTGGTGTAATAAACTGCATTAGACATATGGCAGGATATGTAACAAAACTAAAAAATTGTATAATACATAAAATTGTTCAAAAAATATTTCTAGTCTTGAATTATTAAAATATTATCAGCGGAGTCCCGCTGCTAGCTGCAAATGAGGTGTCTTAATGTTAAACAATTAGAAGTAAGAGGTTGTTGTATACACGTGTACCGTTTTTTTAAATTACTTTTCAATAAATGTGATATTTTCACTTGTGAGAAATAAACAACACTGTTGGTAGTTTTTATGCAAAATACATACTTAACTGTACTGTTCTGCACTTATACCATAACCTATACCCATAGCACATCAAACCATACCATATTATACTACATCTATACTGAACAATATACTATACTATACAGTCATGTTTATAATACTATACACATAATCTACCGATGCATTTTTTACTTTGGTTTAATAAAAAAATGAGTTAAATCGACAAGAAATATTGCCAGGTAATTCGAACCTCAAAAACATTGATGGCCTTATATGATAAACCGATGCTCAAATTAAGATTTATGTATATTAAATCAAGTTTTATAAAATACTGAATAAAGTAGGTGAGGAACACACGTACAACACCAGGTCATTTTGAAAAAGTTTTTAGTGGCTACTAGTTTCGAGTAATACAATACTCTTCATCAGGCTTAAAAAATATCAAAATCTAACTACTGAAGTACTGTTATTTCGGGATACTTTTTGTGTTTTGTTACTATAAATAGAAGTATTGTTGCTAATAATAGATATAGTTTTGGCACTGTTCCAACGAGCTTATCATTAAGTATATTATGTATATTGTTTGAATAAAAAGGATCACAAGTTAATTATGCTTTGTTTAATAACCCATTAATCTGTCCAATGTTTATAATGAGTTCGTTTGTTTCACTAAACATACCATGCTCATGTTGGCAAACCGTTACTGTACTAGACGGTGAGGAGGGTTCCTCAAAATTTGTAGTTTGAAGAATACCTGTGTTGTCCTTACTAATTTGAGTGTCTAAGAAATTACCTTCCTTGGGATTGATATCATGAGTAAACTTAATTGACTCATGAAATTGGTTTAAACAGGCCATGAAGGAATTTTATAAAGATATGACCGTGTATAACAGTTCATGTAAATAAAAAGATGTAATAAGAAATATATTTCTGATAACGTCTTGTTGATATTTTCCATTAAAATATATGTAATGATTTCAAAACATATGTATAACATATATAAAACTTTTCTGTGGAAATATATCAAGTTTTAGAATGTAGTGATGTGCTGGAATGAAACCGATAAAAGTTTATCTTTTTTCGTACATCCTTTATTTAAACATACAGTATCTTTAACTTTATTGCAAATTTCGTATTTTTGTATCCTTTCAAAAGACAATATATAAATAACACATGGGTTTGTGGGTAACAGTAAAAATATCATCCCGAGGAAAATACTGTTACCCGAGGCGTAGCCGATGGTAACAGTATTTATACGAGGGATGATATTTTTACTGTTACCCACAAACCCATGTGTTATTTATTTTATTACCCCGAACAAATACTGTGATGATCTGAATTTGTCAACTAAATCTAACTGTAACAAAAATAAGCCAAGAGAAGCAATAACTAAACTGTCCTTACCTTGCAAGTTTTAAGTGCACTGTAGACCTACTTGAGAAGCTGTTTTCCTTTTATTCTTTAGGCAAGTGATGATATCTACCAGTCATAAACATAACATAAGCTGTGTTTTATTCAGAAAACAAAACACTAACCCATTTATAAGGTTATGATCTGTGAAATCTGATCCTTCTGCATCCAGAATATTCTTCGCATGGTTTTTGACGAAGTGCATTTAGAAAATAACGATGATATCCTACAGATGTCTGTCCACCAACTCTATCTGTAACGTTTCACTGGTTAAAATTGTTAAATTATCCTTTGTTGCATGTTTTAATTGCCTGCATGTTCCAGTTTGACAAAATTATTTACATTACAGTTACTTCCGTTGAAAACGGATGTTTCCTGTTGACTATTCAACAAAAAGATATTTAATACGCGAAAGGGACTCTTGGGTGCAAAGAACTAAATTTTATCAGAGTAATAGTTACTTCGGCGTTGCCCTATCGTCGAAAATAAGAATGAATCGAGTGAAAAATGGCGGCCATTTTATTTCATTTTATTTAGAAAATAGACCACGTGACCAGATTTTATACTGTTAAAAAATACTGTTACCTATGTAACAGTACAAAATTCGTAGTCACGTGGTACACTTGCATTAACAGTAAGAATAACTCCCAGAGGCCTATGGGAAATCAACATTACGAAAAAAGTGAGGGGTAATAATAAAAGCTCATTTTTCTCATGTTTTATGTTTTTTCATGTACATGCAGATGTCTGCTCTGTAGACATAGTTTAATTTCATTGATAGAATTTTTTTTTGTGAAAATACAATATCAAAGTTAAGCACTAAGCATTGGCATAAAATACATGCATTACGAGATAAATTTTTGGGTGTATCTTTTTAAATGTTATTATATCGTTGTGCAGACCTTGTTTACGTCTCTTGTCTGACAGTATTAATAAGGTATATAGTGTCAAAAATAAGGGTAACAGTTAGACTGTGTTGATCTCTGTTCTAATTTTTAACAGACAATGGTGATCTACATCATGTACATGTAGACAAACATCACTCTTCTATTAACAACTAATGCACTCCATAGGTCCTCCTTACGGGTTAGGTCAAAACCTTACTGCATTGCCTTTCTTAAATATTCACGTTTAAGTTATGAAAAAATTTTTTTTTAGAAATGCAAATATGAAACCATTTTTTTATCTTTACTAATAGTACTTCAGATTTTTACAAGACACCAAATTAATCTGACATCTCGACATATAGCTGTTGTTGTATTACGATGCCCTAGGTTAAGCTTCGTCATTCGTGCACGTTACATTATCAGCTTTCAAGCACTAAGATTTTGTATGTTCCTGTAGTTAGAGTTGTAATACTTCATAAATAGATCAGACTATGTCAGATTTCCTATACCTATTAATATACAGTTTGAATGAAGTTCAAAATATTTATTTCATTTTTTATCTCAGAGGCAACATGAGAGAAAATAAGAAAGAAACATTTATACATAAGTTCATAATTTTTATTGACCTTACAATGACACATTGACACAAGCCATCAAGGTTATTATTGCCTTTGAAATGTCAATTGAAATAAAGAGAGCATGCCAGTATAGCAATTCCAGTGGAAAGTCTATCAAACAATCATGATTAAGCAACACTATTCTAGAAACAAAAATATGCAAATTGGAATCATTTACTATGTTCAACAAATCCATGAGGTACATACAAGCTTAATATGTCATGTATTAACAGTCTTACATGCGAGTAAGAAGTGCTTAATGTAGAATGATTCGTTTAGAAGCTAAACCTTAAATAAACTGGTTTTCCTTTAAATAAAATAGATAACAAGTAAGATGACAACAATATTTGTACATTAACATTAATAAAGATAATTAAAGATTTTCTTAATTGCCAATATCAGAGCAATTGCTTTTATTAATTGTCTCCACTCCAGAATTTAAGGGTTGTTTTTGTACTGATTTTTTTTACATTTATTGGTTTGTTTTCTTTTCTATCTTGTACCTGATCTTGGTCTTTTTGAGACATCTGCTTTGAAAATTCAGTAAACATGTTCTGTAAACGTTTACCCTGTTCAAGCACTTCTTCATTTTGTTTCGTAAATTCTGCTTTCATGGCTGCCATGTCTTCTTCATGCTTTTTAGTGATATCATTTTTCATATTTATCATAACTTCTTCGTGCTTTTGCATAAGATCATCTTTCATGGTTGTCATTTCTTCGTTTAGTTTTTTAAATTCAACTGACAGGAATGATTGGGTTTCTTTACTTTTTTGTAGTTCTTTTTCCTTTTCAGCTATTGTATTTTTTAATCCATTTATCTCTTCCCTATGTTTTCCTATTTCTGTATGGTTATCATCAGATCCAGTTTTACCACCTTTTTGTGCCTTCATCAACTGATTTTTTAACTCTTGTTCACTTTTCTCTAGTGCTCTTATTCTCGCTTCGAGTTCTTGTATTTCCTTTTCTAAACGTTCAATTACATTTCTTTGCAAAGAAAGGAGTGCTAAAGTTTTTTCTCTTAGCTTCTTGAGATCGTCAAATTCCATGTCAATACGACATTGATACATTTTGATAATTTCCTCTTTTTCCTGTGGGAAACTTTCATTTTCATTTGCAGTTTTATCTGTTGTTCTGTTTGCCTTTAAATCAGTTGTCGATTTAATATGTATTTTGCCTTTTGCCTTCTTCGTTAGAACTTTTTTCCTTCCTGTTATGTTCATAAAACCGGAATCCTGAAATAAGTGACCACCATTAGTACACTAAAGATTGAAACACACCTTTGAATACGTATTTTAATAAAAGCGCATATATGTTTATTTGTGAATAATCAAGTTATTGGATAATTAAAACGTATGAAAGGTTTACCTCTGAGTCCCCTGCAGCCATGATTCTTTATCCTATCTGTCCATTAAAATAAATTCTTGAACTACAAAGAAAATAAGAATTTAATCGTCATTTTCATTCAAAATGTAGCTTCATTATTCTTTACTTCTACTTCTAGTTCAACAACAACAACAACTTATACTTTGTTCTGCAATCATGTCAAACCATTTGTTATTTGTATTGTAGCTTTACATATAATCGTAACATATATAACATAAAAATAATAATCCTGTTTTGATATCGGAAAATGATTTGGTCCAAAATTTGATGATTCTTGATTTATCTGAGGAATATCTTTAGTTCTCTGTATAGCATATTCTTCTTACTTTTGTATTTTTTCGAGAAAGTCTTTTGTTCGTGTTCACTTATGCCAATGTATGTCCTCAAAACCCGTTATAATACATATGGTATCATGTTACTTGGTTTACATTAATTAATCTATTTTAAGTTCTTTATGTCAGCTGCAATTGTTCATACTAAGTTTATATGTACTTAGATATTTCTTCTCTTACTTTTACAAAGTAACAGCTAGCAGAACGAACTGGTTTATGTTATCAAATGTTTCGAGGTTAAGTGAGACCTTGAAAACGGTTTATTACCAATCACACGATAAACCATGTGCTTTAAGCGCCCATCTTTCAAGAGCATTTTTCTCATTTTTTGGGTCGATGGCTTAACGGTCAATCTCACATTGACCTTTAGGTGCTATAACGCGACAACCCTTAGACTCTTAAACCTCTTAAAGGTGTTTTGTCCTTGGACAGTAAATGACCGTTTTTGTTGTTGGTGTCGGGTCGTAGGCTCCAAGGTCATGATCAAATTAACCTTGTACCTTTAAACAGTTTCAAACCAATAGCTCTACAACTCATGGCCCCCTGCTCTCAGACTTCAAAAATGCATTTGTCTTGTGTTGTACATGACTCCTATTGTTTTGGAGGTTATGGGGTTAACTCCCAAGGTAACTATGACCTTTTATGCCAAAACAATTTCCATGTTCATAGTTCAGTTTACATATCGTTTTTCCATTCAAACTTACTTAACAACCTTACGTTTGTATTCATTATGTAAGGGGGACTTATTTGACATTTCTGGTTTTGTTTCAGTCTCAACCAACTATAAGGGATACTTTTTTGTTTCTAATAATAAGATGATCATATTTGTCACGTGTCTTCACTTTTAAATCTAGTCTCAAAGTTATGTTTAAACCTCAAGCTGTCAAAAAATCTAGAAAGAGATCAAAGTTTATCTGTTTGCCATGCTCGCATTGGGAACGAATGCACTAATCTTAATGCGGATCTTTATAAGAAAAAATCATTTACGAGATAACCTGTTGTGTAACTTCTTTATATACTGTTTTAAATATTCTAAATATACCAAAACTAAAGTGCAGCTATTCTGAGCAACTCGCAGTTTTCATTCCTCGGTAAATAATCTGTCTCTCATAGGGACAACTTATTTATTTTTACAATAGTACATATTTTATTAAGAGAAGATAATTATCTTTACAATGCCTTTTAAATATACAAACATATGTTTATAAATACTATTTGCCACGTTCATTTGATATTCATAAAATATACTTTCCGTTTTATTTGTACTTTTTTCGCCTTACATATAGCAATTACATTTTCACAAAATGCTCTGATTGCTCTACTATCATTTCGGTTTGCAACTGTCTTCTAAGTATTTAGTTTCTTCCATAATTTAGGGAGATGGACGACGCGTTTGCTGATGTAAGAACTGCTTCTCTTGAATAAGTTACATGTTCACACTATCGGAGATTTCTCTTGTATAAACAAAGAAGGCCCGAAGCGTAAAATATTAAACAACAATGCACTAGCCGTTCTTATTTCCTGCCTCCGTATTTTCAACCCTACACACTATCGCAACTTTTCGACTTTTTCCGTCAGTCTTCGGTCAGGACCTCGAACACAATAGATGATTACTTATAAATATAACGTTTTCTTCGTCACAAATATTAACATTCCACTTTGTTGATAATTGTACAAAATATTATAAAATCGACTCATTAAGTTACACTATAATGAGAAGAATTTTATAAGACTTTGTCTTTCGTTCTCATCCTTTTCTTTGAATATATTAGATATTTGTATTCTGATTGTATTGTATTATGTATATCATGTAAATATTCGGGAAATAAATATGTTTAAACTAACAAAATAGTATGAATGCACAGAACGGATACGACATTTCGGTGTAACGAACGCTAAGAAACTAAAGAACTAAATAAATATTACTTTTATACTGGGAATAGGTAAATCCATAGATATAAAAGCGGATATTAATTGATATCCGTGATTAAAGTAAACAAGTAGAATCATTATTATTGTAACAGTAGTAGAGCCCGAAAGTCCAGTATGCAAACTTGTTGACATTTAGTCGGATTTGTTTAAAACTTTACATCAGTGGGCATATTTAAATTTAAAATGGTTGTCAGACATATTTACAATCATAATTGTGCAGATACAGACTATATCTTCCTTAGGATGTCAAATATAAACATTTGTTTTACATAACCGAAGATTACAATCACTTTTCTTGTTTGTTTTTTTTGTAATCTGAAACAAAATGTTATGACTACTTTCAATCCGCATTGTTGTTTAATCGTATTTTATTGCCAATATATACATGTAAATATACAGATAAACATCAAATAGCAAAAGGATTGGGCCGAAGTTCTTACAAAATTTGGCCCTCCAAATATATTAATATATTAATCATCATCGATGGCATTTATATGAGAAATTTAACTAACACATCTGCGGATGTTTCTAAATACAAAATGTCACCATTTTTCGTGTTTAAATGTTGAATTCTGCTTAAGCAGAATGCTAGAGGGTGTGGACGGTAACTTGCACCATCCAGTACTGTCCATGAGAAGGCTCAATCAAACCGAGCCGGCAACATTTTCAATTTTGCCGTGTTGGACTTTCTTTAGGGATTATGTTTTTCAGTATTGTATACATTTAAAGCGACCTAAAAAAAATCAAGACATTTTACATCAAAAAGATTAAATCAGTGTTGGAGTATGTAGGACAGAATAAACAAGAGCCGGTTGAACCGGGTGATGCTCCCCGAATAGGTTTTGGACACAGGAAGGTATACCTCTTGTAGTGTCAGAGTTATGCCACAGACAAAGTTCAAAGTGTATAAATAACCAAAATGTAGTGCACGACATATTGTCTCAATATGGTGATTATTTTTGTGAAGTAGTTGACCTTCAAGGTAGCAACCCAAATGTTGCATGCGATACGTCGATTTAATATGGTGATCATCTCTGTGAAAGAGTTGTTAAATTTTGCTGCAAGGTCATGCCGTGACCTTGACCTTCAAAGTAGCGACCCAAATGTTGCTTGCGACACATTGTCTCATTATTGATGATCATTTCTGTGAAATAGTTGTAAAATCCGACTTCAAATAATGTAGTTATGGGCCGGACACTATTTTGCTGCAAGGTCATGCTGTGACTTTGACCTACAAGTAAGCGACCCAAATGTTGCGCGCGACACGTCATTTCAATATGGTGATCATTTCTGTGAAATATTTTTATAATTCGACTTCAAATATCGATGTTATGGATCGGACACGATTTTACTGCAAGGTCATGATGTGACATTGACCTTCAAGGCAGCAACCCAAATTTTGCGTGCGGCACGTCGTTTCAATATGGTGATTATTTTTGTGAAAAAGTTTTAAAATCCGACTTCAAATAACAAAGTTATGGGCAGGACACGATTTTGCTGCAAGGTCATGCCGTGACCTTGACCTTCAAGGTAGCGACCCAAATGTTGAGCGCGACACGTCGTCTTAATATGGTGATCATTTCTGTGAAATATTATTAAAATCTGACCTCAAATAATGAAGTTATGGACCGGACAAGATTTTGCTGCAAGGTCATGTTGTGACCTTGACCTTCAAGATAGCGAGCCAAATGTTGCGCGCGACACGTCGTCTCAATATGGTGATCATTTTTGTGAAATAGTTTTGAAATCCAACTTCAAATAACAAAGTTATGGGCCGGACACGAATTCAGGACGTACGTACGAACGGACGGACTGACAGACGGACGGACAACCCGACGACTTTATGCTCCCCCGACTTTTTTGTGGTAATTTGTGTATCTATATAATATCGATTAGGTTTAGGATACAGTATTAGCATTATTCGTCGGAGGGAGCAGATATCCATCATAGATGTGTTTAATAGTTATCATGTTTTACCAGGTTATCATGATAAATACAACTGACCGATTTACACAAATATCTGGTCTGTAATTTTGATTAATTTTTTGACAGCCGCAAATATTTGTTCGTTATTGTTAACATCTAACGAATTGCTACCGCAGTAATAGCACAGTAATAGATCAAATTAATAAAAAAAATTCTGGTTTCTGTGAAACGTGTGAGTCCACGGTGATACAACAAGAAAACAGATGATAATTTGCCCAAAACAAGGTACAATCATCAACTTTTTCATTTCATCGAATGTGTCGTTTAATTTGAAGCTTGTTACTCTTTACTACATGCAAAATGCTAAGTCATTATAGTGAAAGTATTTGGGGCATACGGTGAAAAATATTGCTTCGATTGCAAAATATAACGACTTTCTAGTCTGTTTAGTTCATATGACTGATCGAAATGCAATATAAACACATGTATGTACATTATTGTCGTTTGGACAAGTTATACCACTTTAATATTCTGAGTTTTGTATGTTTAATATGATTTTCATGTTTCCACGTGTGTACTTTAGGCACTGTACAACTTGGTCAATAATAACATGTAGACATTGCATTATTCGTCCTTAAATCACCAAATTTATTCTGGTTTCTTTTTCTTCAGTAACGTCGGTCGAAGAAAGATATATCCATGTGTGGTTTATGCATTTAAAGAAATCTAAAAAAATAAAATAAAAAATCGACTTAGTTTGTAATCTTGTAATATATTTGATATTTTTGACCTTGGACAAACTTGTGAACAGTTTCAGAAAACATATTTGTAAGTAGATCTATATTTCTATAGATA